CAGGCGCCCCGAGACGCTGCATTTCTAACAGGTTCCAAGGCGATGTGGCTGGTCTATGGGACACATCACTTCCGCTCACACTTTGGGTCTTGGTCACGTTGCCACATCTAGATACAAGGAGGCTAGCAAAGTGTCCTGCGTCAGAAGGCCATGTGTCCCGCTACAGTTCAGGGGGGACGCTAACAAGACAAAAAATAGAAAGGGTTCTGGGGGGACATTTAGTGTCTGCCATACGGAGTTAAGGGTGTGAAGGGGGCTGCCTGGGTCGAGGAGAGCCAGCTGGCGGGGCTCCCATTGGTGAAATTTTAGACAGTTGGACAGTATAGATAAGAATGGCTCTAAGGAGTTATACATTGAATTTTTTTTTTTTTAAAGGTTTTATTTATTTGACAGAGAGAAAGACAGCCAGAGAGGGAACACAAACAGGAGGAGTGGGAGAGGGAGAAGCAGGCTTCCCGTGGAGCAGGGAGCCTGATGCGGGGCTCGATCCCAGGACACTGGGATCATGACCTGAGCCGAAGGCAGACTCTGCTCAACGACTGAGCCACCCAGCCGCCCCTATACATTGAATTTTTAAAATCCATAGTGAGAAAACAAAAACATGTGGTCCCTCCTCGAGGTTGGTCCCTACTGTAAGCCCGAGGTGGGGGGAGGGTTTGACTTAGCAGCTAAGTGACAAGTGACCATGGCAGGTCATCTACCTTGTGCTCATGTCCTCATCTCTCATGACTTTTGTCCCCGCCTTCCTGGCTTCTTGTTTTGAGGGTCAGGTGAGATGAGAGCTTGCTTTGCAAGAGCCTGAGGTACCATGGCAGGCCCCTGGGAGATGGGGTGCCCTGGGGAGGAGGCTTCTTCCCAGAGCTGCCTTGCTGGGGATTGATTGTAATATGAGTATCACTAAAGCAGGAAGCTTTGGGGTCAGCCATAGCAAGGGCTCCCTGATAATCAGGGTTTGGGAATTATCAGAAAAGCAAGTAAGACTCTGGTGTCTGGGGGCGGGGGGAGGTTGTTAAGAGAAAGGGTGGGTGGGGGCAGGGCACGGGGCTGGTAGAATGTTCTGGAATGGGATATCATTTTAGCAGGGGCTATTAAGAGTTGAACATGAGGACCCACAGGTCCTATGGAATAAGGGACATGGGCTGGGAGTGGTCTCATGGTCTGGAGATCTTCCAGCATGCCTGTGTCTGGCCTGGGGGATGGAGAGATGACAAGGGAAGGAGGAGATGATGCTGGGAAGTTGGGATTCTTCAGATGTCCACGAAATGTCCCTATTATTGTCCTTTTTCTTATCAGGCAACCATCGGCCTGATCAGGAATCTGGCCCTGTGCCCAGCAAACCACGCCCCGCTGCAGGAGGCGGCGGTTATCCCCCGCCTCGTCCAGTTGCTGGTCAAGGCTCACCAGGATGCCCAGCGCCATGTGGCTGCAGGCACCCAGCAGCCCTACACGGTGAGCGAGCCCTCCCTGGGGGTCGGGGTTGTCCTGTTTGTGCACGTGTGCGTGCGCGAGTGTGTAAGCGGGGAGGCAAGTTGTCACGGAGGCGGACTCTGAGGACCCGTGAGGTTTGTCAGATTGTCATGCTGGGGGTGTGTGGCCAGGTCCAAGGGCCATTGGTTGCCACGTCCCCAATGCCTCGTCTTGTGCAGGACGGTGTGAGGATGGAGGAGATTGTGGAGGGCTGCACCGGAGCCCTGCACATCCTCGCCCGGGATCCCATGAACCGCATGGAGATCTTCCGACTCAACACCATCCCCCTGTTTGTACAGGTGAGCCTGGGGCAGGTGGACAGGAGAGGACCCTCCAACCCCTGCTCATCCTCATTACTGAAAGGGGAAGCTTGGCAACCATGGGTTTGGTGGGTCTGGGCCACACAGCAAGAGGTCTTTGGAGGAGTGTGGAGAAAAGTGGCCACACCAGGAGTGACCACTTAGCAAATCCCTGCATGGGAATGGCTTTCCAAGCTCAAAACCAAGGAAAGCGGGGCGCCTGGGTGATTGAGTTGGTTAAGCGTGTGCCTTTGGATCAGGTCATGATCCAGGGGTCCTGGGATCGAGCCCCATGTCGGGCTCCCTGCTCAGTGGGGAGCCTGCTTCTCCCTCTCTTCCCCGCTCATGCTATCTCTGTCTCTCTCTCAAATAAATAAAATCTTAAAAGAAATTAAAAAAAAAGCAAGGAAAGAGATCACAAATAAGAAAAATATCTCCAGATTCAACCACATAAACATTAAAATCATCTGTACATCAGAAACAGCCTAGGGGCACCTGGGTGGCTCAGTTGTTGGGCGTCTGCCTTTGGCTCAGGTCATGATCCCAGGGTTCTGGGATCGAGTCCCTGCATCGGGCTCCCTCCTCAGCGGGAAGCCTGCTTCTCCCTCTCCTACTCCCCCTGCTTGCGTTCCCTCTCTCGCTGTGTCTCTCTCTGTCAAGTAAATAAATAAAATCTTAAAAGAAAAACAAAACAACAGCCTAAAAAGCATGAAAAAGTCAGTAGCAAACTGGGAACATGTTTGCCAAGTATCACAATAGACAAGAGTTTAATATCTTTCATATGAAAGAGCTCACTAAGGCTAGACCCCAGTGGTTAGATGGGCAGAGGCAGAAGCAATCCCCAGGTCGCTCATAAACAAGCAGTGCTCAACCCCAGGAGTTTAAAGAAATGAAGCTGATGCTCCCAGTGAGATCCCACTCTCCACTATCAAATTAGGGGGAAAAGAGGGGGGGTGGATAGTGCCCTGGGCTGGCAAAGATGTGATGAAATAGCCCCAGAAGGCGATTCTGCCGTCTATATGGAGAGCCTTGGAGATATTCATGTCCAGGGCTCGTGGGTGGCACCTCCGACTCTTGATTTCCGTTCAGGTCATGATCTCAGGGTCGTGGGATTGAGCCCTTCGTCGGGCTCCACGCAAGTCTGGGACTTTTTCCTTGTGACATCATTTTAACATAATTTAAAACATGGCAAAAATTTATACCTACAGTCAGCAATCACAATGCTACTTACAATAATTGAAAACAAAATGAGTGGCCAATGATAAGGGAGTGGTTAAAAAAAAAAATGATCTGTTACATCATATGGCTGTATACTGTGAGTTGAAGAATTTTTTGCTTTTGAAATCTTTTCCCTTTAAGTACTAGAGTTCAGAGTAAGGGATCATCGGTGCCATTGTAACCTCCAGTTGTGACCCATGAGGGGTTTTGTTTGTTTGTTTTTGTTGTTCTTATTGTTTGGCTTTCTAGTACTCTCTTTTTTACCAGTATGGACTCATAGATTTTTAGGAAAAATTTTTTTTTTTTTTAAGATTTTATTTATTTATTTAATTGACAGAGAGAGAGAGAGAGACAGAGAGAGAGAGGGAACACAAGCAGGGGGAGTGGGAGAGGGAGAAGCAGGCTCCCCGCAGAGCAGGGAGCCCGATGCGGGACTCGATCCCAGGACCGTGGGATCATGACCTGAGCTGAAGGCAGTCGCTTAACCAACTGAGCCACCCAGGCGCCCTCTAGGAAAAATTTTTTAATAACGTAGGAAAATGCCTTATGTTACAGTATGAGGTTAAAAAAAAGAAAACCAGGAATCAAAATATCAAAATCTATACTGCAGGGCACCTGGCTGGTTCTGTTGACGGAGTGTGCGACTCTTGATCTTGGGGTTGTGAGTTTGAGTCCCATGTTGGGTGTACAGATTACTTAAAAATAAAATCTTTTTTGTTGGCTTGGGTTTTTTTTTAAGATTTATTTATTTATCTGAGCGAGAGAGAGAGAGAGAGGTGCGCGCTAGTGAGCACGTGGGGGGAGGGGCAGAGAGTCTTAAGCAGGCACCGCGCTGAGGGCAGAGCCCACTGCGGGCTCGACCTCACGACCCCGAGATCATGACCTGAGCCAAAACCAAGAGTCAGATGCTCAACCGTCTGCACCATGCCGGCGCCTCTACTTAAAAATAAAATCTTTTAAAAAAAAATGCTAAAAAAAAAGCAGGGATCAAAATTTATATAGATAGGCATAAAACAAGACTATGATAAAAACCTGATGGAAACTCGCCAGAGGCCGTAGGTGGGTAAGGGAGTTGTGCTGGTTTTCTTTCCTTTTTCTTTATACTTCCCTTAGACTTTTCCACACTTTCTAGTAGGAGCCTTGTGTTAAATCCAGAAAAGGGAGGTGGAGATGGACAGGGCTGGGTGGTGGGCTGCCCTCCTGCCCTACACCTCACCCACCTGCACCCCTTGCCCACCCCCTGCGCCCTCCCCCCAGCTCCTGTACTCGTCAGTGGAGAACATCCAGCGCGTGGCCGCCGGGGTCCTGTGTGAGCTGGCCCAGGACAAGGAGGCTGCTGATGCCATTGATGCTGAGGGCGCCTCGGCCCCACTCATGGAGCTCCTGCACTCCCACAACGAGGGCACCGGTGAGGGGCTGTGCTCTGGGCGAGGGGGTGGCAGAGGGGGGCTGGGTCTTGGTCCTCCAGCCCGGGTGGAGGCAGGCGCCTGAACTGGTTTTTCCTTTTCTCTCTGTTCAGCCACCTACGCTGCTGCTGTCTTGTTCCGCATCTCCGAGGACAAGAACCCAGATTACCGTAAGCGCGTGTCTGTGGAGCTCACCAACTCCCTCTTCAAGCATGACCCCGCTGCCTGGGAGGCTGTGAGTATCCTGGGCTGGACTGCAGTGTATGGTTGTGCAAGTTGCACACTGCACAAGGACAGCACTTTTAAGGGGGCTCCTACTACACTATCAACTTTGTAGATTTTTATTTTATAACTGGATCATTGATGACAATTTCTAGCAGATGGAAGTAGTAGGTTAAACTATCTGTTTTTGACCTGCCAGAGTGGCAATTTTATGTTGTCTGATCCTGGTGTGGGGGTGGGGGGCAGCTCCTGGTACCTGCTCTCAAGACATCCCATGCACTGCTGTCCCCAGGGCTGCTCTAGTTCTGTGGGTGCCCCCAAGCATGAATGGTGGGACCTTCCCTAGGGGGGGTGCCTGAGGAGAGGAGCCCATTGGGGCACTGTGTAACTCCATTTCATCCTCTGTTCCTTTGAGGGGTCATTGCTTTTCCGTGGCCCCCTTTCTAGCAGCCTCTCTAGCTGCCCACCCCCAGCCCAGAGCCTACATTTTCCACCCTTCCCCCCTCCCCCAACGTTTCTCTGTGTCTTTCCTTAGGCCCAGAGCATGATCCCCATCAATGAACCCTATGCAGATGGTAAGTGTGTGCAGAGTTCCTCAGGGACCACCTAGTGCCTAAGGTGTGGGATCTCTGTGGACGTGAGCGAAGGAGCGAAGGAAGGATGTGAGCTCCAGGGCCAAAGGACCCATGGCAGCCACTGTGTAGTATCCACACATACTCCTGTCTAGGCTCGCTGATGTGGGAGTTTAGAGAGGGGGTCAGGCCCGCTGCAGATGGACCGAGGACTGTCCAGCAGGGTGGTCTGCCAGACCGTAGAAGGTCCTCTTGCCTTCTTCTCCTCCCCAGACATGGATGCCACCTACCGCCCCATGTACTCGAGCGATGTGCCCCTGGACCCCCTGGACATGCACATGGACATGGACGGGGACTATCCCATCGACACCTACAGCGACGGCCTGAGGCCCCCCTACCCCACGGCAGACCACATGCTGGCCTAGCTGGCTCCACTCCAGTAGGCTTCACAGCCCTCCCTCATGCCCGCGGGCTGTTGAGACAGGCTTTTCCTCCCCTCTAGAACCTGCTTCGCACGGAGGCCCTGTCATATTTCCTCTGAAACCCTGGCTCTTTTCGGGGGGGATCGAGTGTGGGGCCTTTTGCTGTTGAGCTTCCCCAAGGAAGGGGTGCGCCTTGGCCTGCCTTAGTCCCTTATCTTGCTGGGGGCAGGGAGTCCTGCCCCTCCTGTGGGTAGTGGGTAGGTGACGAGCTCCTAGGGGCCACAGGCCTGCCCTGACCCCTCTGTGTCTGCCTCACCCCCAGGTGCGGTTCCTCATCTGAGAGGCTCTCCGTGCAGGCGATGGGGCGAGACAGAAAAGTGCCTGAGCCCAGGGGAGCAGGGCTGCGACTTCTCGCCGAACCCCACGCCTCCAGAGGTCCTCTGTAGGGTCTTTCTTGGGATGATGATCTGCTCCTGCTTTTCTGTCTTGGGCTGTGGGTCCAGGGCCAAACACCCCCTCCCCACCTCTGTGGCCCCGGCACTAAAGCTTTAGACTCAACCACCTGCTCTCTTCCCCCACCAGCAATCACCCCCCACCCCCACCCCAGGTGGCCTGACTCCAGCAGCCCGGGCCCCACAGAGATTTGATTCCTTCTCTGGGCCTGATTGTCTCACTGAACACCAACCAACCAGCTGTTCTGAGCCCCTGGGGTGTCCAGGACCCAGGTTCAAGGCCCAAAGCCCAGAATCCAAAGCTTGTTTTGAAAAGTTCAGGGACGGACCACAGAGATGGGACAGAGATGCAGAGAGTGAATCCTCCACTCCAGGACCCTCCTGCTCCTCTCTCCAGGACATTCAACTGGCTTTGGCCCCTTCCTGGGAGCTCTGGGGATGACGCCCTCACACCCCGTCCCACCCACAACCGCCCTAGCTGACTCCTGAGAAGTGCTCTTGGCTGACCCTTCTGGTGTGCGGTGAGGGGCTTTCTCTTCCCCTTCCTGTTTCGAACCCTCCACCACCTCCTGCACGTGGGTGTGGGGGGCTGGGGGAGGTCCCAGCAGAGAGTTTTATTATTCTGGCTTTATGTTTTTGGTTATTGGTTTTTTTGTATAGACCAAAGCAAAGAAAATAAAACTAACACACAGATCTAATGGAGGCTGTGCGGTGGGGCGGGGAGGGGGGGTTTAGGGGTGGGATGGGGAGTTGGGGGCTCCCTTAGCAGCCCGATGCCTCCTTGGCTGGGTCTCACATGCCCTCATGGCCACCTTGTGTGTAGCAAAGACACAGAGGGGAGTCAGGGAGAAAGGAGTGTTTAAGGATCTGGAGTAGATTTAATTCAATGCACAAACACACTCACAGGCCTCCAGCTTGGAACCTTGGAACCCTAGGAGGTGGGAGGGGTGAAGAGATGGCTGGGCATGAGTCCCCTCTTCAGGGACACCAGGCCTCGTGTGTCTGTCCAAGGGGTGGCCTCCTTGCCAGCCTCAGCCTCCAGCCCTGCCCCGTCCAGCCTTAGCGTACATGTGGTGGATTTCTCCTGGGCGGAACATTCCCTGTGGCCTATGGCTTGGCGTCCAGACCCCTTTTTGGTCTGGGGTGGGCCACCCCAGCCCCTGCCCATCCCTTCTGTCCCCTCAGCCAGCATCCTCCTTGCTGGCTCTTGCCTCCTGATCTTTGTCCATGCTGTTCCCTCTGCCCAGGATGCCTTCACCTGCTCACTCACTGGGACCCTGCTCAGACCTCCCTCCAGGAACACTTCCTCCATGACTTCCCACTGCTCCCAGCCAGGCCGAACTGGGGCCCCTTCTCTGCTCTGTAATGCCCCATGCACACCATCATTTCACCCATCCCGATGTCGTGACTGTCCGCTTACGTGACGGTTCCCCACGTGCATCCCCCATCTCCCTACCCGGGGGGCCCAGCTGCAACGCGCCTGCCAAGCCTGAGGACCTGTGGCACCTGTGGGCCTGCCATGGCTTCATTTCCTCACCTGCCTGAGGCCGGGCGGTGGAGGGAGGCCGTGGCCTAGTCTGCACAGGATCTCTGACACTGGCACGGATGTGCTGGGGGCAGGCGCGCGGAGCCCAATTGAGAGGCAGGTGTGGGGTGCAGGCAAGAGGTGATGAGATGCAGGATGCTAAGCCGACCTCTGCTGAGGGGAGGGGACAGGACAGAGTTTTCAGAATCACAAGGGCTTTTAACAGTGCACTTGCTCTGCACTCTGTGTTCGGGGCTGTCTTGTTCTGCCCGGGCTGCTGTAACAGAATACCATAGGCTGGGACCTTAAATGTTGGACATTTATTTCTCACAGTTCTGGGGGTTGGAAGTCTAAGATCAAGGTCCCAGCGGATGCCACACCTGGCGAAAGCCCACTCCTTGGCCTGTAGACAGCCACCTCCTCCCTGAGTTCTTGGTGCAAGCTCAGGGGGAGATCTTTTCCTCTTAGAAGGGCACTAATCCCATCACGGGGCCCCACCCTCATAGCCTCATCTAAACCTAAATACATCCCAAAGGCCCCACCTCTAAATATCACCTTGGGGGCTAGGACTTCAACATGTGAATTTGGGGGGAAACAGACATTCAGCCCATGACAGGGCCCTGGCAAAATCCACTCAACTTGGGTAATTTGAGAATTCGGTCAAGGGACAGTTTACAGAGGCGTGGGCAGGGGAAGGGACCACAAGTCTCATAAGAGGCAATGAGGACAAAGGATGGGAGAGGGCAACGAAGCACCAGTGTTAAGGGTTAATACTAGTCATGATTGAGCTTCACATGAGGCGCTGAACTTCCTGGCAGCCTGGACAAAAAGGGAAAGCTTAAGCTGGTTCATGAAGTGAGTTGACACTTCAGGTTTTCGTGTAGGAGCTAACTGAGCCTCAACCTTGGAAAAAAAATATCAATTCATGTCTCTGAACCTCAGTTTTTTCCTCTGTAAAATGGGGATAATGCCTGCTCTGCCTCCTGCACATGAAGACGGAATGAGAGCACAGTGATTCCAGGCAGGAGGAAGGGCGAATGGCAAAAGGCTTTTTCCCAGAGGAGTTTTGCCTTTCTGTTTTCCAGAAGGGACATCTACCCCCGGGGACATTGGCAGGAAACTGTCGCATGACCCTACCTTGCTGCAAGGGAAGCTGGGAAATTGAGGATATTTTATTGCACACGTTGCCCCCTTGATAAAATCAGGGTCCTGATGGTAAGAAAGGAAGGAGGCATGGAAGACGGGGTAGATCTCCCGACGTGTCTGCTGTGACTCGGAACTAGTCTCCCCGGCTAATCTCTTCCACTTAGGTAGGCTTATTCCAGGGAGGCAGCCGAATTGCTGAGTGCCTGGGTTTCAGCAAAGGAGGCGACCAGAGGGGGAAGTGCAGGCTTAGGTGATGTGGGCAGACCTGACTGAGCGGCCACACCCAAGGAACAGGAAACCCGGCCCTGGTGGTCTGGGCCAATGTCAGTGTCGGCCACCCACCACAGACAACAGGTCTACCTCCATGTCACCAGTACCAATGGAGAGCGACACCCACTTATCACAATGGCAGGTGCCACGCTGAAGACAAGGGAGGCAGCACCAAGCGCCCCCAGAAACGGCAATAAGCCAGAATGAGGGGCAGAATCCAACAAGGTGGTGGTGGGCAGAAGACCTTCCTCTGCCTTACGTCCTGCCAGCTGGACTTAGAATCAAATTGACACGAGAAAGATTAACAGAGGAAAATCAAATTTAATAGGTGTACCTATGGGGAATCCATGCAGACATGAACTTCCAAAGACAGTGAGGCAATGGGAAGCTTATCTGAGCTAAGGAGAGGGGAAGGGTCTGAGGATACAAAGGGGAGAAAGCTCACTAGCCGGAAAGTGAGAGGAAAGGTTTGGAAAAACAGGAACAATTTTGGTAGCTGAAGGGGAAGCAGAGAGCTTTTCCTGCATCTGCTGGGTTTTGATTATTTTTACCTTGAAATAATCTTTATGCCCAAGTGGCGCATCTTGGGGCAGCCTGCCCTTGGCCCCTACATTGGGATTTATTTATTATTATTATTTTTTAAGATTTTATTTATTTGACAGAGACACAGTGAGAGAAGGAACACAAGCACGGGGAGTGGGAGAGGGAGAAGCAGGCGCCCAATGACTGAGCCACCCAGGCGCCCTACATTGGGATTTCAATATCAAGTTATCAGGGGGCACCTGGCTGGCTCAGTCGGTAGAGTTGATCTCGGAGTTATGAGTTTGAGCTCCACGTTGGGCATAGAGATTACTTAAAAAAAAAAAAATCAAGTTATCAAAATAAATCCAAAGTAATTATCATTTGTGAACCTAAAAGTACTGTTAAAAATGCAGTTTGTCAATTTAAAACGTTCTTAAAAAATTAAAAATGTTTTTAGGGCACCTGGGTGGCTCAGTTGGTTAAGCGACTGCCTTCGGCTCAGGTCATGATCCTGGAGTCCCGGGATCGAGTCCTGTATCGGGCTCCCTGCTCGGCAGGGAGTCTGCTTCTCCCTCTGAACCTCCTCCCTCTCATGCTCTCTGTCTCTCATTCTCTCTCTCTCAAATAAATAAATAAAATCTTTAAAAAAAATAAAAAATAAAATAAAAATGTTTTTAAAGTATTAACAGGGCGACTCGCTGGCTTAGTCAGTGGAGGATATGACTCTTGATCTCAGGGTTCTAAGTTGAAGCCCCACATTGCGTGTAGAGATGACTTAAAAACAAAATCTCTAGGGGGCGCCTAGGTAGCTCAGTTGGTTAAATGTCTGACTCTTGATCTCAGCTTGGGCCTTAATCTCAGGGTCATGAGTTCAGGCCCCCACATTGGGCTCTATGAGTGTGGAGCCTACTTAAATAAATAAATAAATAAATAGGGCGCCTGGGTGGCTCAGTTGGTTAAGCAACTGCCTTGAGCTCAGGTCATGATCCCAGAGTCCTGGGATCGAGTCCCACGTCAGGCTCCCAGCTCAGCGGGGCGCCTGCTTCTCCCTCTGACCCTCTCCCCTCTCATGCTGTTTCTCTCTCTCTCTCAAATAAATAAATAAAATAAAATCTTTTTAAAAATCAATTAAAAATGAAAAATAAATTGTCTTACACTAAAAAACTTTGAAAACATGTCTATACAACCTCATCTAAAAAGCATGTAAGTTGGCTAAAAAGATACACTCAACAAGATAACATAAAGAAGTAGGAAATAATTAGATGGAATCCTAAATCCTATGCTTGATCCAAAACATCTATGCACATTTAAAGAACATGGGGAAATTTGGTAACACCCAAGAAACGTGGGAAAGATTTGAGAAATTCAGTTAGTTGACCCCAGTTCCCAATAATTACTAGTACAATGAAGCTGTGGAAAATGTGTCCAAATGCAGTCCCGGTCTCTGGAAGGAACAGGGGCACTCTTCATGGGCTAGATTCGTGGGTCATTCGTTCTTCAATCACCAAAAGCTTCCTAAGGACCTTTTCTGCCAGGCTTTGCTCACAACCCTAGGGATAGAGATGCCCCACATTCTTGTCTTCCGGGTGTGAAACAGACAAGAAAGTAATGGTAGCAGGAGAGTGTGCATGTGCTTAGGAGTCTCAGTGGGTTCAGCAAGCCCATGGAGGGAGTGGATGACATTTGAGTCGCCTTTCAAATAAGGAAGTGTTCAGTGGAAATCATGGAATGTACCTGGGACTTCCTGGCAGTGGGAGCAGCAAAGATGTGAGGATGGGAAAATGAGCACAGAGTTAGGAGAAATGACACCCCGTCTGGGAGCAAGGAGGGCTTCTCAGAGGAGGAGGCCAGCCTCAGCAGGAGAGTCAGAGAGGAGCAGGAGTGAGCCAGCAGGCTCGCCCGCTGACCCCCACCATCACCCCAGGTACTTCCCCTCTGCCTTCTCTCCTTCCCCTCTCCTGACCAGCAGGGGGCCTAGAAAACCAAAAGACACCAGGCTGAGGTGCTCAGGCCCCCAGCATCCCTACTTCCTCAGCCCAGGCCCGGGAGAGGTTCAGAGTGTTCAGTGCCCAAGAGTCTGACCAGGGTCTGGGAAGAAGGAATAAAGGAAAGGGGGCCTTACGTTGTGGAGGGGCCTGGGCACTGGTGGGGAGAGGGATGAGGGGTCCCAGGAGTCCCACAGGAGGGGAGCAGGAGTGGGGGTGGTGAGGCGGTTCCCCTGGCCCATGTCCAAGGCACTCCCTTCTGCCCTGTTCCCAGTCTGATGCAGAAAGTGGTCCTGGTGTCTGACCCCACCCGGATCCTTGGCACTGACCCTCAGTGGCTCTTGCCATGGGGTAGCCTGTCCTAGGTTCATTTTCCAGGATCAGGCCAGGCAAGGAGGCCTGAGCCGGGGGCGCACTGAGGCTGGGTTTGGAGTGACTATGCTTGGCCCCAAGTTCATGGCTGTGGTGGGTCGCAAGCCCCTTCCTGTCTTCTCTAGTTCAGCAGGGTGCATACTGGGAGGGAAGGAGGAGGTCTATGGTTTCTGTTCTGCCAACCTCTCTGGTTAGAGCAGCAGAACTGGGCTGAAGGACTCCACTGGAGAGGGGTCCACGGGGTCTCTTGGGCTGTCATGGGCTTATCAGCCAGGCCAAAATGCTTACTTGTGGAGTGACCAGGGGTCTGAGCTTTGGCTTCTCCAACTGTCCAATGAAGTTGCCATCCTTACTCTGCCTCTTCTGTGGAGTCACTGATCCCATGGGTGAGGGCTGGCTGGGTGAGGGTAGGGGGTATGCGGGCTGGCACCGCCCTCTGGTGGCTATAGCTAGAGTTGCCTTGCAAGGTGTGGGGGGAGGGGGTAGAGGGTGCAGTCTACTGGGAGCCTGAGGGTCCCCTTCAGCTCTGTCTTCTCCACTCCACTTTCTTCTTCTTCACCGCAAACTTCCCAGGGTCCTCAGGGCTGCTTTCTCATGGAATAATTCAATTCAGCAAACATCCATTCAGCAGGAATAGAATGGGCCCCTATTGTATGTCCTGTTCTGTGCACGCCCTGTATCTCAAACGAATAAATAAATCTTAAAAAAAAATAAAGGTACACAGGGGAAAAAAGACAAATTACATTCAGGGAAATAAAGAGAAGAATGAATTCGAGTCCCAGTTGAAATGTGCTTTAAGAATAAAATGCCCAGGGTGCCTGGGTGGCTCAGTCAGTTAAGCATCTGCCTTCTCTCGCTCTCAAATAAATAAATAAATAAATAAAATCTTTTTTTTTTTTTTAAGATTTTATTTATTTATTTGAGAGAGAGTGCGTGAAGGAGCACCAGCAGGGGGAGCAGCAGAGGGAGAGGGGGAGAGAGAGAGAGAGAGAGAGAGAGAGAGAAGCAGGCCCCCTGCTGAGCAGGGAGCCCAGACCCTGGGATCATGACTTGAGCCGAAGGCAGACGCTTAACCATCTGAGCCACCCAGGCACCCAATAAATAAAATCTTAAAAAAATAAAATAAAATGCACAGTTAGTTTAGTATAAAGAATGTAAAAATATAACCTCATTAATAATTTTTTATGTTGATTACATGTTGAAGTGATAATATTTTGGAGATACTGGATTAAATAAAATATATTATTAAAACTAATTTTAGGGCACCTCACTGGCTCAGTCTTGATCTCGGGGTCATGAGTTTGAGCCCCAGGATGGGCGTGGAGTTTACTTAGAATTAAAAAGAAAAAAGTTTCAAAAATGAAATAAAATAAGGGGCACCTGGGTGGCTCAGTTGGTTGAGCATCTGCCTTTGGCTCAGGTCATGATCCCAGGGTCCTGGGATAGAGTCCTGCATAGGGCTTCCTGCTCAGCGGGGAGCCTGCTTCTCCCTCTCCTCACCCTGTTTGTGCGTGCTCTCTCTCTGTGTTAAATAATCTTTTTTTTAAAGGATTTTATTTATTTATTTATTTTATATTTGTATATCGTAGGGACTCAGTAAATATTTGTCAAATGAATGAATGGACCCAGATGGAAGGAAACATTCTTACCACAATGCTTCTCCATGGGAAAGCTGGTGGACAGGGCAGTCTGATCCTCGTTCCTGGGTTTTGTCTCTTGTTCCATCCTGTGTCACGGACACCTGGCCCGCAAGGCACGTTGTCAGCACTAGAAACCTCTGTCTCAGGTGTAGCCCTTGGGCAGTAGCCCCTGTCCTGGGCTCAGGCTTAGCGTGATGGCTGTGGGGAAGGGGCTCCTGGAATTCCTTAGAAATGGATTCATGTGGAGGGGGCAGGGAGGTTATCACAAACATCTAGAAGAGAGGATGAGGCCTCAACAGCAGAGGGACTGACGAGGAGACTGGTCATAGGAGGTAAATCAAGCAGGACAGGTGATTGATGGGTTATTGAAGGGAAGAAAATTTGTGCACTAGGAATGATTCTAAGGCTTTAAAAGAATTAGTGCCACAACCATCTCTTTCTGGCCGGCAGGTTCTTCCAGTCTAAAGGGACAGAAATGGCCACCGACCGACTCCTCTGCCGCCCCATCCAACTCATTGTAGGTACCGCCTCCCATTGCGCACTCTGAGGGACACGCTCAGGGGCCATGCGGGACGAGGTCCGAGGGGTCTTCACCCGGCAGACCTCTAAGCGCAGTCTCCAGGAAGAACAGGTGTCTGCCAGGGTGGGAGGAGGTGGGCAAAGCCAATGAGGGCTGGAGGTAAAGCACAAGCAAAGGTAATAAGACGAAGTAAGAAATAAGGAAGACGGCTGTCGAGCGGCTGGAGCACAGGGGTGTGAGCGCAGGGACCAGTGTGACGCGCCAGACTTGTCAGCGCGTTGAGACCATACTGGAGTTTGGATTCATGTCCCAGCTACCGGAGAAAGCACAAAACTGCCCTAACTCCCAGGTCATACCCAGGGTGGGCAGCCGGCAACCCTGGCCGGAGCGGAGGGAGGGGGTGTCCCCAGCTAGGGACCTCGAAGTCTCTGTACTCGAATTCCAGGGAAGCAGCGACTTGGGGCAGAACCATTCTCGGGAGGTGGAGAGGGGAGGAGAAGCCCTGCACTCGGAACCCGAGCCCACGGAACCGGCTGGAACCGCCATTCGACTATTCCCCGTATTCTGATTTCTGCGCTCAGCTTCGCCACCAAGAGCTCCCCTCGCGCGCGACCCCCAGTCCGGGGCCTCACTGGTTGCTCCCGGCCGCCCACTCCCGCGCGTGGTATGGCCCGGCGGGCGCCCACTCCGGGCGCTGGTTATAAAGGCCCGGCTGCGGCAGCCGACTGCGGACTCAAGATGCGTCCTAAAGAGTCGGGGCCCGGCTACGCGAGGCACCGGTTCAGACCCCGGGATCCGGCGGGAATCACCCTCGCACCCCCACTCGCAGCCAATCCCGCTCCAGAGCCCTCTGCGCAGTTTGCAGCCGCCCCTGCGCGGGCACCCGCGGCCGGACAGGGAGCAGGATCCAGATCCCCTTCCGTCTCGGGACGCCCAGCCGGAGCTCGCCCGACCTCCAAGGCTGGATCGGCGGCAGGAGCCCCACGCGCGTCCGCAATCTCAGCCGCCCAGCGGCATGCCCCGTCCGTGCCCGGCACCTCGGACGCCCCATGGACCCGCTTCATATTCCAGGGGCCCTTTGGTCCCCCGACTACTGGCCTGGGGACTGGAAAGGCGGCGGGCATCTGGAAGACGCCGGCCGCCTACATCGGCCGTCGGCCTGGGGTGTCGGGCCCCGAGCGTGCCGCCTTTATTCGGGAGCTGGAGGAAGGTAACCCGGGTCCCCGGAACCCCAGAGCCGGTGGGACGTAGGCATTTCCGTGGAGAAGGGGGCCCCGTCGGCTCCGAGCGCCCCGCCCCCTCTGGCATTCAGTCTTATCGCTCTATCGACTTGGCGATGTCACTGTCTGCGGTCCCTGTCGGGTCGCCTCTTGCCCATCTCCTCCTCCCTTCTGTGGTCTCCTGATCGTTGTCGGGGGCAGGTGCAGGGGCTGTGCGCGCCCGTTGCTCCGCAGCTCTGCGCGCTCTCAGGGCACCCCTCCCCAGGCTACCGCAGTGCCAGGAGAGGGGCGGGGGGCTGCGGGAGGGCGCTGCCCCGTGCGCTCTGAGCTTGCGCTGGCCCGCCGCGCGGCGCTGGGGAGGTGGGTGGGCGGAGGGGGAGGTTTTGTCAACCGTTTGGCTGCGGGGGGTCAAAGCCGTGTTTTCCCCAGCCTAGAGATGGGCGGGGGGCTCCGGTTTCGTCCCCTCGTAGCTTCTCCTGGGTGGCAGGAGATCTCTGGATTTGGGTTTAGAGGCTCACGGCCCCCCTCCTGCAGTGCTGGAAAAGTCTCTTCCTGCTCTCCACACGCAACAGGTGCAGGGTGGGTGACTGTGTCTGTTTTATGACCCACAAGGCTCCAATGAGGCGGCCAAGGCTGCCCTCTGGGTAAGGGGTGATGAGCCAGTCTGTGGCTGCTTCCACTAGCCGCCTGCATTCTCCTAGGTGCCAGGGACCCAGGCGGCGGAGAACTCAGTTCCACCTGAGCTTGGAGGACTGGGATCCTTTGCCTTGCCCAGGCCCCTCCAGAACAAAAGAGTCCATTTGGTCCTGGGAGCAGGGAAGGGAGTGCTGGGACCAGGGGGTGTGTGTGGAGAGGATATTGGGGGCAGGAATGGAGCTCAGTCTTCTCCTCCCTTGTCCCTGACTCCTGTTGCTGGAGGAGAACTGGGGATAGGGCAGGAAACAGTGGGATGTGGGGTAGGATATGCCCCCCTTTTACTGACCCAGGTGCATCACTTGTTTTTGCAGCGCTGTGTCCTGACCGAACCCCACCAGTCAAGATCACCCAAGAAGATGTCAGACTGATGTTAAATCTGCTAGAGGAGGTGTGTACTGCCTTCCCTAGGGCCATCCTGAGCCTTAGCCAGGCCTCCGTTTTAATTCTGCTTGGGAGGGGTAGAAGTCCTGTCTGTTCCCTGCTTGACTATTTTTCCGGGAGCCAAGCTGGGGGTCCCTCTTATGATGTCTAGGCTGGAATTGCTGTTAGAGCCATCTGGTCTGACCTGCTCTTTTCTATAAGGGGAAACTGAGGCCCCCACAGTGGGTTGATGGCAGACTCTTTTCTAGTACCCTGGAACACTAGGGTGTGGAAGGGTTTCCCTTAGTGGCCTTGCTTCCCTTTGACCCCTGTGTACTCCCTAGCTTCTCCCAGCTGTCTGGGAGATCCCAGAAAACAGGAAAGTATTCCCCATGGATGGGGATCCCCTCTGCAGAGAGAGCGGGACCTAAATACGGTGGCTCGCATTGGCCAGTCCCTGGCGAAACGGAACAGTGTTCTGATGGAGGAGAACAGCAAGCTGGAAGCCATGCTGGGCTCAGCCAGGGAGGAGGTAACTGGGCAAGGAGGAGGGGTAGGGCGTGCGCCATCTCAGACCTTCCTACATCCCCTTCGTGCCAGGACCTGTGCCTGCCCCCATCCCCCCCCCCCCGCCTTCCAACAGGGATCCTCTCCCCCACTGGCAGATTTTACACCTCAGACACCAGGTGAGCTTGCGAGATGATCTCCTCCAGCTCTACTCAGACTCTGAGGAGGAGGAAGAGGAGGAGGAGGATGAAGAAGAGGAAGAGGGAGAGGAAGGAGAGGAAGAGCAGGAGCATGATCATCCCTATGGAGCCTCTGAGCCGTGAGTGTCCTGCCTTTTCACCAGGGCAGCTCCTTCTCTGTGCCTCAGTTTCCCCATTTGCAAACAGGGACACACACGGTGTACCTGCCAGCAGGGTTGCTGGGGCTACATGAGACCACCACACTGAGCCCGGGTGGGCTAACCCTGGGTGGGCTGGGACCTGGGTTCCCCCCCTCCCGCCCCCGTGCTGGGCCCTGACCGCCATTGCTCCCACCGCTAGGACTTCCGTGCAGGAGTCCGAGTCGCCGCACTACTGCCCGAAGCTGGAAACCCTGCAGGAGCAGCTGAGGCGGCTGGAGGAGGAGAACGAGCAGCTGAGAGAGGAGGTGAGGCTGCGGCAGGAGGGCGCAGCTGCAGGCAGGGGCTGTTGACACTCCTGCTCCTTCCTCTCTCCCTCCCTCCCTCCAGGCCTCTCATCTCGATGCCCTTGAGGAGGAGGAGCAGATGCTCATCCTGGATTGTGTGGAGCAGTTTTGTACGTGAAGCTGTAACTTGGGGGTAGAGGGCTGTCCCAAGGAGCCGAGGGAAGAACTCAGAACTCACAGTTTGGAGACCTGAGTTCGAGGCCCACCCTGGCACTTCCCGGCTGTGGGAACTTGGACAAGTTCCTTGAGGTCTCTGAAACTTCATCTTTAGAATGGGGAGGAATAATGTCAGCCCTGCAGACCTCTCCAGAGGCACAGCTGAGAACGTGCTTTGCACACACTGGAGAGAGCTGTGCAGAAGCTGTGGGGCCCCTCTAAGCCTGTTTCATTTTGTCATTTGGGGCTTGGGAAGGAGGGGCCTGGAAGCAAGGAAGAGAAGGAGCCGTGAGCGGCCAGACACCAGGCGAGGCACTGGGTCTGGGGCAGTGGCGGGTACCGTGTGTTGATGAAGATGAGGGAGGCACAGGGTTTGTCCCTGAGAAGCTCAAGTCTAGCTTTGAGATGCAGGTGCAAGATGGGAGCGGCTGAACTCATGCTGCTTGCCTCCCTGCAGGCCTGACCTTCCTTCCCTCTGGGTTCCCCAACTCCCCGAATGGCCAGGCCCCTGGCATAGGAGCTGGGCCCCAAGTTCGGTTGCTTCCACCTCCTAAGGAAGGCTAAGTCTCTTTTCTCCTCCTCACCCCCCTGACTCTAGCCCAGGCCGGGTCTTAACTGGTCTCCCCTCCTGTACTGCTGTCTTTCCAGGTCCTTCTGCACACAGCCCAAAATCAGTTTTCTAAAACCAAATCTGACCCATGTCATCCTCTGCCTAAAACCCCAAGCTTCCCACTGGCCAAAGGGTAACCTCAGCCCTCTCCCCCAGCCCCTGTGATCTGGGCCCTGCCCAGATCCTGAGCCCTCCCTCCCAGGGTCTTGTGATTGGCCCCTCCACACCCTGTCTGGGAGGCTTGTTTACCCTTCTTGGCCTGGCTGGGTCCCACTTACCCTGCAGAGGCCTTAGCTTCGCAGACCGTGTAAGGCAGGACCGGGTGCCACTGTGACCCCCGGTGCACCCTTTACATGTGTTCCACCCTAGCCCAGAGTAGGCCCTGGTGGGATTTCCTTGCCCATCAGTGTCCCCACTAGACTTGAGCTCTGTGTGCGCTGGGACCAGGTCTCGACGGCCGCTCACCCAGGGCCTTGCTCCATGTCAGTCAACAGACATTTATTGGGATGAAGAGCCAGTGAGGAATATGAAGTCCTGCAAACCCAGAGTCCCCCGCCCCAGCTGAAGGGTGGGGTGGACAGAGGCCTCGGGAGGGCCAGACCGGTCCCCAGAGGCCGGGCGAGCCAGCGCTGACCTTCTGTCCCCGCGTCCCCCCAGCTGAGGCCAGCCAGCAGATGGCCGAGCTGTCGGACGTGCTGGCGCTCAGGATGGAGACCCACAACCAGCAGCGGAGGGAGGTGGCCCAGCTGCGGACCCAGGTCCTGATGCTGCAGCAGCGCTGCCAGATGGTGCGTCGGGGTGTGTGCAGGGCTCCCTGCTCCTGTCAAGGCCCCCGGGGCACCCACGCCCCCTCCTCCCTGCCCTTGCCTCACGGAGCCCTCGGCTCAGCCAGGCCCCAGGCCCCGCTGTGCGGCAGTCAGAGGCGGAGGAGATGTCGGAGAGCATCTCGTTCTGCCCCCTCGTTGTCCCAGGGAGGGGACGCAGGCCCAGAGAGGGTCACGGGGTGTTCTAGGATGCATGACTCTCCCACCTGATGGGGCCTCATTCCATGTGACTTTTTTTTTTTTTTAAGATTTTATTTATTTATTTGAGAGAGAGAGAGAGAGAGCACATGAGAGGGGGGAGGGTCAGAGGGAGAAGCAGACTCCCTGCCCAGCAGGGAGCCCGATGAGGGACTCGATCCAGGGACTCCAGGATCATGACCTGAGCCGAAGGCAGTCGCTTAACCAACTGAGCCACCCAGGCGCCCTAGCATGTCTCTTCTAACACTAAGAACATTTTCCTAAAGAATCACAATACCTTAATCACCCAAAAAACTTATTGATTTTTTTTTTTTT